CTTTTAGTATCTTTTCTTTGTTCTGTAGATTAAGTGTTTTGACTATGATGTGGCGTGAGGAATTTCTTTTCTGGTCTAGTCTATTTGGTGTTATATAGGCCTCTTGTATGTTTGTGGACATCTCTTTCTTTAGGTTGGGAAAATTTTCTTCTATGATTTTCTTGAAAATATTTTCCTGACCTTGGAGCCTGGAATCCTCTTTTTCGTCAATTCCAATTATTCTTAGATTTTGCCTTTTCATGGCGTCCTTGATTTCTTGGATGTTTTGTGTTTGGGATTTTTCTGATTTTACTTTTTGTTTAAGAGAGGTATCAATTTCTGCGAGTGTATCTTCAGCACCCGAGATTCTCTCTTCCATCTCTTGTATTCTATTAGTGATGCTTACCTTTGTGGTTCCTTCTCTTTTACCTCTAGGTTCTCCAGTTCCAGAGTTTTCTCAGTTTGTGTTTTCTTTATTGATTCTAATTCTGTTTTCATGCCTTGCAACATTTCCTTCATCTGTTTGAATGTGGATTCCTGTGTCTCTAAGATGGTCTCTTTTTTTTGTTTGTTTCCTCTCTTAATGCCACTACTTCTGCCTCCATTTGTTTGTCTATATTTGCCTGTGTTTCTTTAAGAGCTTTGTTCACTTCATTTTATTTTGTTTCCATTTGGGAGGCCAAATCTTTGAGAGATTTATTTGTTTCCTCTTTAACTGTTTGAACCTGTATGGCTATTTCTCTGAGAGATTTGTTGGTTTCCTCTTTATGTGCCTCAAATAACTGGATAATCACAGCTTTAAAATAATTTTCTTGTGTTTCTGATGAGTTGAAGTATCCATTAATTTTAGGGGTTTTTGGTGAAGCCATGATATCTTGATTTACATTGGTTGTGTTCTTTCACCGACCCCTGGCCATTTGGTTATCTGTAGTGTTCACTGTTTGTTCCTGGATTCTGCAGATCAGACTGATCTTTCTCTATTGTCTGCAGAATTCTTCAGGAAAATGGAGGAGTCCAGTGGTTTCAGTGTGTGCATTGGTGATACAGCTATACCTGTAGGAGGAAAGTTCACAGGCGCAGAAGGGCAAATGTCGGGTAGCATGTGATTGAGTGTGTCCTTGTCAGTGTGTCCTAAGGGACAGGGTGTTGGAGAATGAAGAGACCTTCAGTGTGTGAGAGGGGTGCCTTGCAGGCACTGAAGGTGTTGCAGGCGCTTAAGGGATTGTAAGCGCTGTTGAAGATTGCAGGCACATATTGTTTTTGCAGGTCTGCTAGGCTTTGGTGGCTATTCAGCTGGTTTTCTGCCACTGAGGGGTTGGATGACCCATACAATCACTGGCTGGGCAGCCCCATGTAGTCAGTGCTGCCACTTGCAGACTTGGGATATGGGAAGGATTGTACTGTGGATCTGAGTCTCTGTGGCTGGCACTCTTTGGGCGTGTGCTCTGACGGGGTGGAGTTTCTGGCGGTACTCCCTGATGGTGATAGTGGGGGGGGGTGCGCTCCGAGGGTCCAAAGCTCTTCAAGAGGGCCCTAGGCGGGGCCCGGGGTTTGGGCTCCTCGGACGTGTGTCCAAGGGGTGTTATTCAGCGGGCAGTTTCAGTGGGCGGTTACAGCCGTCCGCTGTACTAAGGGGCCTGGAGCACTGTATTTGCTGTCCTAGTCTCCAGGCTGTGAGCTTTGTGCTCAGCTACCTGGTGCTGTGTGCAGGCTTCCAGGTGCAGGAGGCCTGGACAAGGGCCCTACTTCGTTCCCAGGGAAGCCCACACCTGATCTAACTCTACAAGCACCCCACGCTTCTGTGGTGTCCCCTCTCCTTTAGAAAGCCCAAAAGTCCAAATTCTAGTTTCGATTGTCTCTCCACTCACCAGTTTCAGAGATTCATGTCCTCTGCCTCTCCAAAATGGTGCGCTCTGTTCGCCGCCATCTTGGAACCCCCTAACTTTATTTTAAAAAACCCTTTTTTGAAGTGAATGCAAGAGTGTTCAGATTTAACTCTTTAATTATTAAGGCTCTTGTCTCTCTGGCCACCTTTCTTGTGTGTTCCCTGAGGTGCTTCATAATGAGTTTTGTTACAGCAAAAATCTTTTCAGGGTTGGCCAGTTATTATTACATTGAAAATACATCAGCATTTCATCTTGCGGAGGAGACAAAAAAAAGCACAACATGAAAATTTTGACATTCTTTAAAGGAGTGAACATAAAAAGATCATCCTCAAATAATTTTTATTAACTTTCTCAACCTATAAGGATCATACTTAGCCACTAGCAAATTATTATTATAAAACTGACATTGTATGGGTATTTACACACTTAGTATTATATTTTTAAGTAGATAAAAATTAGCCAATTAAAAAAGAACACTTGAGTTTGGGCAATATGTTAAAAGATTTCTTCATGATAAGAAGAAAGTGACAGAAATGTGAACTCAGCCCATGTCTAGTAGTGTGACACCACTCCACCATAGAAAACTGATATACAACAGGGTAGGGTCAAATAAAAGGGGAAGAAGACCTTCTCCATCAGTGGACTAGGGAGAGACATAGGGGGAGAAGAGGGAGGGATGGTGGGATTGGGAGGAGACCAGGGAGGGGGATACAGCAGGATACAAATTGAATAAATTGTAATAAATGATAATAATAAAAAATGTTACCAAAAAAATATAAATGCATCAAAATGATGGAGTCCATTCGCTTCAGTTAAGATGGGAAAGAACTACATCGTGAATGTTACAGGTATTTTTTAAGGTTATAAGATTATAGAACCTTTGTTAAGAGTAAAGTCAGGCAAATCCAGTCTGACAGTCATCTTTGATGGGGAAGTATCTGAAGGGCTGTAGAAAAGCCAGGGGGATTTGTAATCCTCATCACCCAGGCAGGTGTCTGCATGTGCCTCAAGCCTTGCTGATCGCGTTAGTAATCATAGATTACGGCACTGTCACCTGAAGCCATCTTAATTTATAATTCTCCCAGGTTATTCCCATGGGGGCGGGAGAATGCACACAGCCCTCTGATTGCTTTTCCCTTTTTATCTTTTTCACCTCAAGGAGTGGCCTCAGTTTCATTTTCTGGTATTTGGCAAACCTGGGAACTTCCAGGTGTGTCCTCTCACCTTTCACCTCTCTAAAGTGTCCAAGCCTTTATCCCTCTTCACCCACTTCTCAAACTGTCATCATTTCAGCCTTTCTGCACTAGAATAGAAAGCTGAGCTGCAAGCTAGAGCTGGCCCAGGCATCCTGGAATTTACTGTGACTAAAACTAACAAAGGACTAGCTAACTGTTATGAAATCAGAGCTATTCCATTTGGCCTGACCCAAGCTACGTTTTACATATGTAAGAAACAAAAAGTTATTTTTTCTATTTTTCTAATTCCTGAGGGCCCATCAGAGTAATGGACATTGGTTCTCTTATAAAGAGTTAACTGAGGCAACAAACAAACAAACAAAACAACCAAACGGGATTTTAGAGTCCTTACTTATCAAATCCCTTGAATAAAAGAGGAAACAAAATCATAGTGTCAAAGTCTTGAGGCTGGTCACATGTCCAAGGCACAACTGCATGGGCAGGTCAGTGTTGCCTTTTCTGCAGCAAGTCACAGAAAGCGTGGAATGGCTAACAACTCTCCCAGGACACGCCTATGGGTCCAGCATGTCAACACAAAGTCAGTGACACCATACTTTAAACTGGAAAGCTCTCGATTTTGATGCTCAATGTTTATGTAAAGCAGATGATCCCCGAGGGTCACAGCAGCACTTGTATTTGTTTGTAAAATAATATGCATGGTTAACTTTTTATTTCATTACTCTATGAAACTTCTTTGCTCATTAAATATGCCACCATTAAAATACAACAAATCTACCTCTGATTTTGGAACTCTATTTATCTTAAGAATTTAGCGCATAAGAAATGCCATTCATCTTTTATGAATATTATTATTAAGAATAGGAGATTCTTAACTTTTGGTATAAAATCTAAGACTCACAATTCATATTCCTTAAAAAAATTGAAACTATGTGAAATTAAATTATATTGGAAACATTTAACAACCAAGAATAATAATTAGTTACTTGAGTTTATCTCCAGAAACATTTCCTAATGGATAAAGATTGCTAGCAGACTATTGGTACAACATATTTATAAAGATAATCCCTCACAGTAACAGACAAATCATCACTAACGCGGAATATCAGATGTGAATGAGTTACTATGTTTACCACGCTGAGATGCAGGTATGATTGGTAGTCATGCACACATTGGGGATAGGAATTTTGCAGGAGACTGACACATTAAGTCAGTAATTTACTCCATTTTCCACAACTAGTCACTGAGAGGACTGAACAAGGCAATCTGGCTACAAGGGTACAGTCATGTATAGTTATTGTCCCATACCAAGCTATTTGTACAGCACATTGTTCTGGAGACACTGAGGGGAGGTTACAAGGTAAACTGGGGTACAGCAAGAGTGGAGGTGAGGCACGAAGTAGTGCGAGGATTTCTCACGCGTCTCAGCACATGCTGTGTGCAGCAGTCTACAGCCACGCTGTATGTGAACCATTTGACAGACACTAATAAAACCCAAGTTCCTATCACTGCGATGAAAGGGGGGCTAACTACGTTGAATGGAAGGGAATATGTTGAGAGTACCAAAGTTGTTGAAGGTCAATGAACATATGGGTAGAATGTTTACTTTAATGAAAACACAAAATCCTTGTATGTATTGATTTATACCATTCAATTTTCTAACTGTAGAACCTAAGTTTTAAAGCACAAAGCTTTAAATACACCATAAATGGTTGGTTACCTTTCCTGTTACCTAGCTTCTATCTAATACTGTACCCCATACTCTTCATGAATTAAAACTGAGTTGGCCCTCCTTAAATATAAGCTGTACACATTAGTGATTAAGACAATGGGAAAATAATGAATTATAGTACGTTCATACCTTACACACGCAGAATAACTATAGGAAAGTTTTATTCTCACATAGATTTAAAATTCATGACTTGGAAACCCTGCCACTGACCTGAGATGCATATAAACCCAGAAGAGAAAAAGGCTTCATTGTATGATGACAAGTTGTCAGTCTGGGCGTAGACAGCATACACAGACATGTGTGAACAGGCGCAGTCCACGTAGTCTGAGGTATCTCCAACCACTCTGCAAAACTGGCTGTCAGACAACCAGCTAGAACAAAACACAATAGTCACTGTTCTTTCAATAATATTTCAAAGATGTTAAGACTGTTTTTAAAGGAAAAAGAACTAGCTGAAATTAAATGTTCTTTACTCAAGACTTAAGCAGGCTACATTTTCCAGAAGAAACACTGGAGGGAACATCTTGTTCAGGACATGATCCAACAGATTCCACCAAGACACCTTAAGAAGCAGTGTAAATACCAACCACGCATGCCAGAGCATTTGCTGTACCGAAGAAGTTAACCCTCCTAGCAACAGGACAGCTGCCTTAACCATCCCAAAGTAAATTTGTTCTCTGTCATTCACAATTCCCCACTGACCAGCACAGCCACATGTGTGACTCCCAACAGATGACCACAGCCATGACACGTGTAGACCCCCACAGATCAGCATAGCTGACTGAGTTAGGGTCTCTATTGCTACAGCAAACACCATGACCAAAATGGAAAGGATTTATGCGGCTTGCATTTCCACATTGCTGTTCATCACCAAGGAAAGCGAGGCCAGGAACTCAAGCAGGGCAGGAACCTGGAGGCATGGAGGAGTGAGCCTTGCTGGCTTGCTCCCCATGGCTTGCCCAACCTGCTTTCTTATAGAAACCAGGACCACCAGCCCAGGGATGGCACTACCCACAACGGGCTACCCCTACTCCCGCTAATTAAGAAAATGCTTTAGAGCTGGATCTTAGGGAGACATTTTCTCAGTTGATGCTACTTCCTCTCTAGTGGCACTAGCCAGCATAAAAGCCAGCCAGAACAACAGTCGCTGTCTGTATAGGATTAACTGCTTCTCTTGCTTTCATAAATCTTTCATTTTTCCCCACACCACATGAAGCACATTTGTTAGCTGTGGTGGTGTGGATAATAATGGCCCCCATACGCTCATATATTTGAATACTTAAAATTGCTGGAACTGTTTGAGAAAGATTAGGGGGTGTGGCTTTTCTGAAAGAGGTGTGGCCTGGCTAGAGGAGGTGTGTCACTAGGAGTGTAAGGTTTCAAAAGCCCATGCCAGGCCCAGTCTTCTCTCTCTCTGCCTCCATCTTACAGATAAAATATATGTTCCATCTGCTCCAGCACTATGGCTACATGTTTCCTGCCATGCTCCCTTCCATGATGGCCATTGACTCTGAAACTCTAATTAAATGCTTTCTTTGATAGGTTTCCTTGGTCACGGTGTCTTATTATAGCAGTAGACCAGTAAGTAACATATATGCTTTCCTATGATTCCATCCATGTATTTTCTTTTTTTGTATTTTGAGTTATATATCATAAATACATTTTTCAAGGAACTTCAAGTATTTCTTTCAGTGAAGTTCATCTCATTGAGAGTCAGTCAGTGGCTGCTTCTTGAACCTCTTCTTTTCATTAACGTAAATTCCATTACTTTTCAAATGATGTAAAACTTCCCAACTCAAAATGCAGACTTCATCTTGAAACATTATGCATTAGATACTGAGGAGTAGAGATTATTTATGAATTATTGTCCTTTGATTTACGGTGGAGTAGACTCTTAAACTTACTATTTATTTTTAAATGCTGCAAATGTCTTTACTATACCTAGCCCATTCACTGCTTAGCCATGCTATTTACCCTCAGGAGCACATTGCTGACTAGAGCCATGGCTCACTGCCATGTACAGCACCATATCACATATTACCAAAGAGAGAAAGATCACAGTTCAAAATTTGAGTTGTTTCAGCAAAGTGTATCACTTCTGCATAAGCTTCATGTATAAAACTATACATTGAACCATCACAGAGACCCTCCTGTATCAGGTTCAAAACCCAGCATCAGGAATCAGGCATCAGGCATTCAAAATGTTTTATTGCAGAGAAAAAGAGACAAACCCAAATAGATGATTTGGTTTTCCTGTTGGGCTAAAATTTGGTAATAAAGAAAATCTCATGCCTGATACTAACAGCAGACCCCTCTCCCAATACAACTGGACTCCACAGCACTGACTGAGATTTGAGTAGCAGTAAGTTTTTCAGGAACTTAAGTTCAGAGGCCAGAGAGACTCAAAGGAACACCCAGCCTCTTGTTTCTGCTATGCCAATGTTTATTCCTCAAATGGCTTTCTCACAGTAGCCTGTGAGAAAGAATTCTTACACCCTGCTGATCCTTCCAAAACATAAGCCACAGTTACTGAATTGCTGACAGCAAGGGCATAGGAAGATATTTCCTTTTATGTGCAAAAAATTAACTGATAACTTCAGAGATGTTATGTAACCTAAGCAGAGCTGATGATACCGCCCTTGAGAATGGCAACAGTGAAGAAAGAGAAACAGTACACACACATGTTCAGCTACCTGAAGAGTACCCACTGGAATGATGCCAGGCTATCTTTTATCATTGATTTACCTTGTTTCTAGTGGAGATCTTGCTCCAGTTGAAGCCTTACCTGAGGCTTTGGCAACACAAGCAGGTGCAGTGCTTCTGGACAGGAAAGCACCAAAAACTGACCTTAAGATTTATCAGTAGTACCTGGCAGCAGCCTGATTCCAGAAGAGACACAGAGCCGTATGCGGAACAATTCTAGGCTCAGCTGCATGAATCCTGTAGAGAACCTCATTGTTGTTAGGCAGGGGTTGTGCGCTCTGACCTTTCACATTCAAAGATAATACCTATAATGTCAGAAGAAATAAACAATCTAATGGCAATTTTCCAGTCAGCGTTACAACTGAGTCTCTCAGTCTGAAGCAGACTCGGGTTTTCTAATACTTACTGCCTATAGTGTTTTCTTCAGAACCGCTAGCTGGCTCTCTCCTGAATGCAGACTCTGAGAGGCTTTCCAGCACCACAGTCCAACTCCACTACACTCGCTTCTCAATCTTTAGCTGATAACACCCACTGTATCCCATAGGTATGTGCCAAGATACCATCGTAGGTAAAACTATAGCTTTATGCTTTGTTGATTTACATGTATATGTGTGTACACACACACATACACACACACACGCATATACACCTATACACATATGCATGCGCACACACACATGCACACACACGCATACACACACGCTCCACAATACATAAAGGAAACATGAAGCCCACAATTCTACAAATAGCTTACAAGGAAAGAATAATTTTCCTACCACTCCTATGTAGCACCTGGCAAAAAAAAAAAAAAAAAAAAAAAAAAAAAAAAAAAAAAAAAAAAAAA